CTAGTTACACTAGTACTTGCCATGGCAAAGCTTTTCCCATTCAGAGCAGGAGTTCAGCCTTGTCACTAAAAGCTGCAATGTATAGTCTAAAGAAGGCAGACTTCAAAAAGACAACTCACTCCTGTATTATCACCTTACTTATTGTAATAGGAAACCTTTTCCAAAAATACTCCTTTTATCTTGGGGGTTCTGCTACTGAAGGGCACCAAGTTCTTTCCAGTTCCCAAGTTCTTTCCAGAGTCCCCGCTGGCCCCTCGCTCCCTGCCAGACTTCTGCTTTTGAACTGTAGCAAGAGCCAGGCAGGGCTTTTGCTATAGTTCAAAGGCGGAGGCACACTTATAAACTAATCAAATAGTTGATGGGATTTCCATCAACTATTTGATTAGTTAATTGAAATTTAACATCCCTACTCCACAGTAGCCCTGCTGACAAAGGCTGCTTGGAAAATGTGTTTATTCAGTACATATACCAAATGAGAAACTTTTTAGGGGAGGTTTGGTTTGTTTCTCTCAGCTATCAATCAAAATAAACTAATTAAATGGGTACAGACAAGGAGCAAAAAATGTTAGCCCCTCAAACCTGCAACCATAATGGAGGGACAGAAGTTTAGCATTCATGGGAAAACGTGCTGTTTTTATTGTACACAAGTTCTATGCAATAACCCCAGTGGGCAACATAAATGCTCACTAGTCCCCTTTGGGAGGAGGGAAAAATTAGTGAGCTCAAGTCTGAGAATCTGCTAATCTTCTCCTGTAAACATGTGATATCAAGATGACACAAGCACTCACTGCATTACCTAAAAGAAGTTGAATATAAAGGCATCTGTGCAGGAGAAAGAAATAGACAGTGAATTCTTATTCAGTGCGGGAAACTAGTTATAGCTCTTAGACCTATAATTTCGTTTTTATTTATGCGGCAGTGTAATGAGGCTGTTTTTAGAGGTGAATGCATGAACCCACTTTGTTCTATAAGTGATCTAAAAACCTAAATACTTACAGTTCTGGGTTCAAACGTATACAGAGCCCTGAACACTTTGACTTGTCCTAAAAAAAAAAAGAAAACGTTAATGACAGAAAGCTGAAGATACTTTTCCCTTCTTTAAGGCAGAATACAGCATTACTGATATAGCTCACAAGAGTCAGAGTTGCACTTCCTCCCCCAGTCATATGCTGGTTTATTTTAAATTAAGAGCTCTTTATGTGATATGTTTGTATCTATTAACTTTAGAGTCATGCTAAGGCTCTACGCAGTAGTATGGCTTTCATGATCAGCAGCTAGTCTGTCAGCTAAAAAGAACCTGCCCTCTCTGGAAGGACACAGGGCTCTCATTCTGCACTGTTACCGTCAGCTGGAGTTTTGCCATTGACTTGGAGGAGGTCCCCAAAAGCAGGTTCTGAGTCTGATCAAAGCCCATTCAAATCAATAGGAATCTTTCTCTGTCCTGGCTCTCATGACGGTTGGATTGGGCCTTAAAACGCTGTGCAAAGGATAGAGGAATTAAGTCCCTAACAACATGGTGTTCTCTCACTCGCAATTTTTTTTAACAGACAATATATATTTTTTTTCAAGAGCCTTAGAGAGAGAGAGAGAGAGATTGTGTACTATTGCATCTTTCCCCCATCCCACCAGGTGAGTGGTGGGGGAGGGGGAGATTTAGGTAGGGATTCTGCTTGGAGATTTAAATGAAAATGTTCAATATTATGATTGTTTTAATAGTAAAGTTTTGAGACAATCAAGACCAGAGCCTACCATGGGTGATTCTACTGCAGAGTATCCCAATCTAAATTCATAAAAACTGTAGAGCAAGCTTCTAACAAGACATGACAATTGCCTATACTGCATTACTTTTAAGAAAACAAAGTACAAAATAAATTATAGCAGAGGGAGTAGAAATCTTATGTAACTTATCAATGGTTCAAAGAATTGTTGAAACCTGTAGAACTCGCTGAAAAAATCACCTTACACTGACAATTATACAGTGGTTAGTTTTACACACTTGAATTTTTGATCATTAGTACTTTTACATAGTATTTCCAGTTCCTAAAATTATGGTGTTTCTCGTGTAGTGAATCAGAACAATTTGCACCCAAAATGCGGTGCAGTATGGTGTTGTATAATGGGAACCATGTTCTATGTTGTGCATCCTCACAAGCATTCATGAACTTAAAGCTGAGGTTTGGCACTGTAAAATAAACTTTGTTTACACATATTTCAAAAGAGGATCTTAAAACTACAAGCCAACTTGGAAGAATTAAACTATTTCCTTAGATGCATTACCCATATGTCCCCTCAGCATCTATAAGGAAGTAGGGATGTTAAATTTTGATGAATCAGCTAATCAAGTAGTTGATGAAATTTCCATCGAGTACTCAATTAGTCAATGGGGGGAGGGTGGTGCTTGCTATCCTGGCTATGCCTCTGCCTTTTAAAAGTAGTAAGAGCCACCTGCGGCTTTTACTACATTTAAAAGGCAGTGGCGCAACAGGGAAGCCAGGGTGAATGGGAACGGAAGCAATCCCCATTCGTGCTGTTTTCCCCTGCTGCACCTCTGCCTCCCCTGTCCATCCGCAGAGACGGTGCTGGTGGGAACTGGAAAAGCTCTGTAGTTTACACATAGCCTTTGAGTCCTGCTAGTAGGAAATAGGGGTGGTTTATGTTGCTGTGTTTTAATATGTTAGGCATGCAGTGATGTGTGCAAGGAGTTTGTTGGAAATGGGTATTTAGCTGTGAAAGTGGCGAGGTTGATAGTCATTCTTATTTCACCTGGCAGTAAGCTCCAAAGTCCTGAATTAACTTTAAATATACACACACCGCTCAGGTTCTCACCAGATGCTATTCAGAAGAACATACTTACTGAGCTTCTGTTTTTAAAAGCCTACAGAGGCGTAACCTCCAGGACAAGCCTGTAGCACAGTCTTTCAGGCTTTTCATGGGATAATTATATTTAAAGGGCATATCTTCAGAAATAAACTCTACAAGCTTTGAGCTGCTAAATGCATATAGATACTGAAGGATATGACTTTTTTCCAATACAGTAAAACTCCATTAGTCCAGCATCCAATGCTCCGGGACTCCTGATGGTCCGGCACCATCAGGAACCCGGAAGTGCTGGGGCAGCCGGACAGGCTTCCCCCATTCAGCAGCTGCTGAAACTGACCAGCAGCTGAATCGGGGAAGCCGGGAGCAGAGCAGCTGGGGTGCTGCTGGGTTGGTCTCGTAGCGCTGCCCCTCGGGGCTGCGGGACCAACCCGG